CTCGGCAGCAGCACCTCCAGCCCCAGCGGCGCTTCCCCCTGAAGGTGCTCTTATAGAACCAGAGAATCAGGGAATGGGTTGGGGTGAAGGGACCTTAAAACTCCTCCAGCTCCAACCCCTGCCATGGGCAAGGACCCCTTCCACTGGAGCAGCTTGCTCCAAGCACCCCATCAGCGCCTGTGCCCACCCCTCCTCGGTCTGTGGCCATGTCCCACCACTGCCCCCAGCACAAGCTCTGCCCTGAGGGTCCTTGGTGGGGTAAGCCCCGAGATGTGGCTGCAAAGCCGGAGCTGGGAAACCCACACGGGTTTTGCCTCGGGCCCTTCCCTGCAGCAGACGGGGAGTGAGGGATTGGAGCCACATCCCTGGGGATGCCCTGCAGGGGGGGGGGGCAGCACTGGGGCTCCTGGGGTGCTGCAGCCCCAAGACCCTGCCCGCTGCAGGGTCAGAGCTGCCCCAGTGCCATGGGGCTGCCCAAACCCCCCCGGGGCAAGGAGGGAGGTTGGGGAACCCCGGGCACAGGAGCCAGCGCGGGCGGGTGCCCACATGAGCCTTGGACGTGTGTGAGGGTGTCCCGCGTGTCCGTGTGCCCCCGGCAGCAGAACCAAGCCAAGGCTCCGGGCTCTGCCTGGCAGGAAATCCCAGGGCTTGGGGAGGTGCTGCCATGGGCGATGGAGCCGGGGCTCAGGCGCAGGGGAGCCCGGGACAGAGCACACGGGAAAGGATTTGTGGCGGTTTCCTCCCTTCCAGCCAGGGGGAAGCCCTGCACACCCCATGGGCAGCCCCGGTCCCACTGCTCCTGCCTGCGAGGGCCGCCCCATGTCCCGCGGTGCCTTTGGCCCCGTGGCCTCCATCCCGGCTCCCGCTCCCCCTCCAACAATAGCGGCCTTCCGGCACGGCCCCGCTCCCTTTCCTGTTTGCCCGCAGCCGGTGCCGCTGTGAGGGGCTCCACCGGCTCTCGGAGACCCCGTCCTGGGGCACCCCTGGCGCAGGCACTGGTGATGCTGCGGGGACAGGAGCCCCCTGTGCGGGTTCCACAGAGGGTTTCCTGCCCGCAGCCCTCGGGATGTGATCGGACATCGGGGCCCTCCCATTGCCCCTCCACAGGGAGGCCTGGGGGAGACTGAGCTGAGCTCTTAGGCAGAAGCTCTTCCCTGTGAGGGTGCTGAGGCGCTGGCACAGGGTGCCCAGAGAAGCTGTGGCTGCCCCATCCCTGGCAGTGCTCAAGGCCAGGTTGGACACAGGGGCTTGGAGCAAGCTGCTCCAGTGGAAGGGGTCCCTGCCGGTGGCTCTGGGTGAGCTTTCAGGTCCCTTCCAACCCAAACCTTTCCATGATTCCATGGTTTTATGAAAGCAGCCACGGGTGGGCTCCAAGGGGGATTCTTGCTGGACCCTGCATGCACCAAACTGTGCAGGAGGGGGAGAGCCCCACACATGGGACAGCACCAGCACGATCATGTGTGTGTGTGCACATGTGCATGTGTGCATGTGCATGCGTGTGCGAGCCACCCCTAGAGCAACCGCATGACCCTGCAGCAACACACCTGGAGTGGCTGCACCTGCATGTGTGTGCACACATGTGCTGCCTGCACACGCATGTTGGGCACCTCCTGCCTCCTGCTTTGCCCTCGCACACGTGTGTGTGTTTGTGCTCTTGTGAATGCATGGCGAGTACACGGATGCTCGCTCCCTGCTCCCCCAGCCTGAGACCCAGTGCTCTCACCATGCCTGGCTGCAATGAGCATGCAGTGAGCATGCAGTGAGCGTGCATTGAGCATGCAGAGCATGCAGCAGCACACAGGGAGCGTGCGCCTGGCGTTCACCAAACACACAAAGGTCATGCATGGCCACATGCAGCAGGCATGCCCCAGACATGCAGGTGCCATGACACAGAGCACACGCGTTGCACACACAGTGCGCACAAAGCACACACGCAGTGAGCACACAGCACACATGCAGTGAACACACAGCACACACACAGTGAGCACATGCATTGCACACACAGTGAGCACACAGCACACACGCAGTGAGCACACAGCACACACGCAGTGAGCACACAGCACACACAGTGAGCACACAGCACACACGCAGTGAGCACACAGCACACGCAGTGAGCACACAGCACACACGCAGTGAGCACACAGCACACACAGTGAGCACACGCATTGCACACGCAGTGAGCACACAGCACACACGCAGTGAGCCCACAGCACACATGCAGTGAGCACACACACTGCACACACAGTGCGCACACAGCACACACACAGTGAGCACACAGCACACACGCAGTGAGCACACAGCACACACGCAGTGAGCACACAGCACACACGCAGTGAGCACACAGCACACGCAGTGAGCACACAGCACACATGCAGTGAGCACACGCATTGCACACGCAGTGAGCACACACACACACACATACACACACACACGCGCGCGCACACGCAGTGAGCACACAGCACACGCAGTGAGCACACAGCACACAGGCAGTGAGTACACAGCACACACACAGTGAGCACACAGCACACACGCAGTGAGCACACAGCACACACGCAGTGAGCACACAGCACACACGCAGTGAGCACACAGCACACACGCAGTGAGCACACAGCACACACACAGTGAGCACACAGCACACACGCAGTGAGCACACAGCGCACACGCAGTGAGCACACAGCACACACACAGTGCGCACACAGCACACACGCAGTGAGCACACAGCACACACGCAGTGAGCACACAGCACACACGCAGTGAGCACACAGCACACACGCAGTGAGCACACAGCACACACGCAGTGAGCACACAGCACACACGCAGTGAGCACACATCACACACGCAGTGAGCACACAGCGCACACGCAGTGAGCACACAGCACACGCAGTGAGCACACAGCACACAGGCAGTGAGTACACGCATTGCACACGCAGTGAGTGCTCCAGCACCCGTGTGATGCCGAGGACCCGCAGGCTGGGCAAGCTCTTGGCCACCCCTCGCTGTCCGTGCTGCACCCCTGGGTCTCCCCCGGGGGCTGCGGGTGCCAGCGCTGCCGCCCTGTCATTACCGTGCTGACCTACATGGCAGCGTGCGCAATTTGGGAGGCATCCGGATGCTCCGCAGTCACCCCCAGGGGCCAGCGCGCCCCGCGGCACCGTCCCTGTCCCTTCTCCATCCCCTGCCCATGGCAGCCAAACCCCTGCCACCCCCCGGCCCCCCATCTCTGCTCACTGGGGAGGCCTCAGCAGCAGCGCTGGTGAAGAGAGCTCCAGGCTGCCCGGATGCTCCTGAGCGAGCGCCAGGGCCTGGAAGAGCAGGAATTTGGTTGGATTCGGATGGGATTGGGTGCGTGGGAAGCGGGTTTGGGACCCCCCTGCGGTGTGGGGGTGTGTGTGTGCCCCCCCCCCCCAGCAATGGCTCTGTGGGGCTGTGAGTCCTGCCCTGGCACATCCCCAAAGCGGGGGGCAGGAGCAGTTGGGGGGCAGCTGGGGGGGGGGGGGGGGCTGTGACGTGAGGCGCAGTCAGCGCCTGCGACGGCGCCGGGGCCGCAGCCAATGCGCGGCGCGGGCGGTGAAGTCATGGACCGCGGTGCCGCCGCCATTGGCCCTGCTCAGCGCCAGGAGCGCGCCTGTGCTCGGCCCCGCTGGCGTCACGCGAGGTGGGGGGGACTCGGGGTGAGCCCGCAATGGGGGGGCCCTGTCCATGGTGCCCCCCCCCACCATTGCCACCAGCGCTGGGTGCATCCCACAGGGGCTGAGGGACGTGACCCTGCGTCCTGCTGCCCCCCCCCCCATCATTGGGGCGGGCCTGGACGTGGGGCTGAGCACGGCCCCACTCGTGCCATGTTTGGGATGGGGGGGTCAAGGCTGCCCCCCCCCGCCCTGAGCCTCAGGGGCACAGAAAGTGAACACGGAGCCGCAGTGTCCTTGTCCCTGCGTGCAGGGGGGTCCCCAAGGGGGGTCCCTGGGGACAGTGGGGGGGTGTCCAGGGGTGCCCACGTCCCTGTGCTGGGGGGGGTGGTTGGGGTGCCTGGGGGATGTTATTGCCCCCTGGTGCAGGGGGGGTGATGGGTGCCCCTGTCCCTGTGTGCAGTGCATGGGGGTGATGGGTGCCCCTGTGTGCAGTGCAGGGGCGTGATGGGTGCCCCTGTCCCTGTGTGCAGTGCGGGGGAGATGACCTATCCCTGTGTGCAGTGCAGGGGGGGTGCCCCTATCCCTGTGTGCAGTGCAGGGGGGGTGCCCCTGTCCCTGTGTGCGGTGCAGGGGGGTGCCCCTATCCTTGTGTGCGGTGCGGAGGAGATGCCCTATCCCTGTGTGCAGTGCAGGGGGGTGCCCCTATCCCTGTGTGCAGTGCAGGGGGGGTGCCCCTGTCCCTGTGTGCGGTGCAGGGGGGTGCCCCTATCCTTGTGTGCGGTGCGAGGGGGGTAGCCCCTGTGTGCAGTGCAGTGGGGGTGCCCCTATCCCTGTGTGCAGTGCAGGGGGGTGCCCCTATCCCTGTGTGCGGTGCAGGGGGGGTGTCCGGGGGGTGCCCCTGTCTCTGACCGCAGCACAGGGGGGCAGGAACAGGCTGGTCCCTGGACAGGGGGAGCCCCAGTGCAGCGCGGGGGTGCGCGGCTCAGTACGGGAGGGGTCGGGGGTGCTCGAGTCCCCGCTGGGTGCTCACGTTCCCGCTGAGGGGCCCGGGGGGGGTGTTCGTGTCCCCGATGGAGGCCCGGGGGATGTCCCCTTCCCGGGGCGGGCCGGGGCGGGCCGCGGCCGCCTCTATAAAGGCGTCGGGGGGCGGGAGCCGCGCGTCCCCTCCTGGCGGCGGCGCGGAGCGGAGCGGAGCGGGCGGCGGTGCGGGCTGGGCCGGGCCGCGGTACCGGGACCGGCGGGGACCGGGGGCTCGGTGCGGGGCCGCAGCCGCTTGACCGCGCTCCCCTCCCGCAGGTCTCGGCCTCCCCCCCCCCCGGGCTCCCTCCGCCTCCCTCCCCCCCCTGCCCGGTTTTTTCCCACCCCCCTCCCCCCTTTTCTCCCCGCAACGCCGCCCCCCGCTCCCCCCCCCCGCAGCAAGATGGTGCAGAAGAAATCGGAGATCCCGGGTTTCCACCGCTCCTTCAAGGTAAGGGGCTCCCCCCCCCCACACACACCGGGGGGGCTCCGTGGCCGGGCTGCGGGGGCCGCATCCTGCGCCTGCAGCGCTGCAGCCACTGCATGGCGGGGGGGGGGGGGCGTTAGCGAGACCCCCCCGACCGGGGGAAGCAGCGGGACCCCCCCCTGCCCCGGGGGTCAGGGCTGCATCGCAGCCACCCCGACCCCTGTGTGCCCCGCGCGGGTGCTGGGTGCTGCAGGCCCCATAGGGCCCCGCCGTGGGGTACGTGGGGGCTGCGCTGCCGGGAGCTGCCCCCGTTCACCCCATTCTGGAAGCGGGGTGCGGGCCGGGGGGGTGCCGGGACCTGTTGTGTGAGGGCCAGGGCCTGGCAGCCCGGGCCTGGGCTGCGGCTGCAGCCGGCAGGGGGGGGGGGAGCCGGGGTCACCCCGACCCCTGTGCCCCCCTCGGGGGGGTCTGTGCGGGGCTGGCCCCGCTCCCCGAGCGCTCGCTCCCGTCCCGGCTCTTGGGATCTTTGTTCGGGTTTGGCTCCGAGGGATGCTGGGAGCGCCCCCCGAGCCCGGCTCCTCGGAGCTGCGGCCTCAAACTGCGCTCAGGGCCCCAGGCCGGGGCTTGGCTCTGTCCGCGCTGCCCCCCCCCGCCCTTTGGGGATGGGGACGGGGTTGGGGGCACCTCTGTGGGGATGGGGCCGGTGCTCAGCGGCCGCCCCGCACCTCCCATCCCCCAAACCTTTTGTGTCGCTGCTGCAGGAGCTGCAGGGCCCTGGGCCCCCCCTTTTTTCCCTCCCAGCTCCCCCGAGCCCCCCCCCCGGTGCTCCCGGAGGGCCTCATCCTGCCCGTGCTGCAGGGCCCTGGGGGGGGGGTACCCGAAGGGCGATGCTGTGCGCTGTGAATCCAGGGGGTTCTTGAGGGGGGGGGGGGAGTTGGCAAAGGGCCGGGCAGGAGCGTTCTGCCCCCAAGGTGATGCTCGATGGGGGGGGGGGTGCGGTGGGGCCCCCCGAGAGCCGCCCCGCTGTAAACAGGCACTTGTGGCCGGGCTTGGCTGGGGCTGGCGGCCGGCCTGGGCACCGGGGCACCGGGGCGGGTTTGGGAACGCGGCCGGGAGCTGCCTCCTCCACCCAAACACATTGCGTAACCTGGGGAGGATGGGAGCACCCCCCGGTGCTGCTCTGCCCCGTGCGGGGTCCCCCTGTGCTCTGGGGGGTGCTGGGACCAGAGCCCCCGGTCCCAAGCCCATCGCGGACCCTGGGAGCGGGGAGGGTTTGGGGTCGGGACGGATCCTGCTGGTCCCGGCTGTGTCACAGCCTGATGGGCACTGCACTCACTGGAGCGGGGTGAGCGGGCTCCAGCCCACCGTGACCTTGCAGGGAGCAGGGAGGACAGAGCACGGCGGCTCTGAGCCCATCCTGCCCCGGTGGCTTTTCCCCCCCCTCCTCGCTGTAGTTAGGTCTGGGTGGAGAATTGGGGCTGGGTTGGTGCGGGCGGCCCCGATCCCTCTCCTCACCCCCGTGTGCGGGCAGGACCCAGCACTGTCCCCATCAGGAGATGTGGTCAGACCTTTCCTCCTCCTCCTCCGGCTGTGCTGTGTGCCTCCAGCAGCACCATGCCCTGGTGGCGCACAGCACCCCACACCGATGGGGCGCCCCCCAGGCTCCATGGGCTCAGCACTGGTGGTGATGGATCCAGCGGCTCTGCCATCTCACTCCTGTTCTTCCCCCCTTAAACCCAGGGACAAAACCCCTTTGACCTGGAGTTCGACCAATCCAACCACCTGGAGCCTGTCTTCAACTTCGAGTGCCCGCCCCGTCCCGGTGAGCTCCGGGTGCCCTCCCGGCATCTCCTTGGCTCTTGAAGCTCCCTGGAGGGTTTTGGGGTGCCGCGGGGTGGCCGGGGCTGACTCACAGCGGTGGCTTTGCTCCGGCCCAGACATGCCTTCGAGTCAGCCCATCGATATCCCTGACGCCAAGAAAAGGAACAAGAAGAAGAAGCGCTGCAGAGCAACCGACAGCTTCTCGGGCAGGTTCGAAGGTGAGCGGGGAAGGGCTGGAGCCCTCCTGGTGCCCCCGCTTGGGGGGCAGTGGAGGTGCCCGGTGCTGCTGTGGGGCCGGGAGCTCAGGCAGCCTCTCCCCTGCCAGATGTTTACCAGCTGCAGGAGGAGGTGCTGGGAGAAGGGGCCCACGCCAGAGTCCAGTCCTGTGTGAACCTCATCACCAACAAGGAGTACGCGGTGAAGGTAAAGCTCTGCTGCTGGGGGCCGCACACCCGGCTCCCTCCCACCCCCTGCCTCAGTTTCCCTTCCCACCCACCTGCAAGCACCCGGTGCTGGCGCAGGACATGGGCTGGAGCGGTGGGGATGGGGCCGGGCTGGTGGCACCTCGGTCACCCCCTTGGCCACGCTCCTATCTGTGAGGCAGGAGGTGAAGTCAATGCCCGTGGCACATGGGGAGACTCGGGGCAAGCAGGGGTGGATGGTGCTGGCGGGGAGGCCGCCCCTCTGCCCCTGCGGGCTTGTGGCTGCTGCAGGAGTGCCCCGGCTGCGTTTGGGGTCAGGGGATGCTGGGCCCAGGGCCCTGCACCCCACAGGCTCCCAGCCCCGGTGCGAGGAGCTGGGATGGGCTCTGTGTCAAAAGGCAGCCGAATCCAAGGGGATTGTGGCTTTGCCCATGGCCCTGGGGAGCCTTTGGGTGCCCCCGTGGGGAAACTGAGGCAGCAGGGAGGGCTGCACGGCAGCACCCGGCTTTTCCTCTCTGAGGCCGTGTGTGGGCACCCCCTGCCCACCCCATGGCGCATCCAGCACCCGCTGGGGCGCAGGGCCCTGCTCCAGCACCATGGCTCAGCGCCGGGCAGCGTCACATGGACCTCGGCTTGGCTGTGGCCCGGGAGGGAGCGGCTTGGCAGGAGCAGGGAACAGCCTGTTCTGCTGCCTTAACCCCTTCGGGCAGCCCCTGCCTGCCTCAGCCGGCCCCAGCGCCGGCTCCATGGCTGCCGTGACGGGGTTACCGGGCTCAGCATCGGTGCCGCTCCCTGAGCATCCCCCTGTTTGCCTTTCAGATCATAGAGAAGCGCCTGGGACACATCCGCAGCAGGGTCTTCAGGGAGGTGGAGATGCTGTATCAGTGCCAGGGACACAGGTACCGTGGGACCGAGGCACCCTTGGCCTTGGGAGCATCTCGGGGGGACATGAAGTGGTTTTGCCATGACAACGGGGGCTGAGGCAGCCAAACTGGAGCTGAGCTGAGCACGGCCACAGTCTCGCTGAGCAGGGCGAGCGAGCCAGGAGGGTCTGCGAGCAATTAGGGAGCAGAGCTGGGCTCCCAGAGTCCCTCTCCCCCCTGGAACGGAGCCGGGGCCCCAACCAGTGTGGTTTCAATCACTGGAAACCTGGTTTTGTTCCACGTCCTCACCCAGGACCCGCTCTATGGGGATGCAGTGGGTTCAGGGGGGCTGCTGGGCTGATGTCATTGATCCCTGCAGGAACGTCCTGGAGCTGATCGAGTTCTTTGAGGAAGAGGAGAGGTTTTACCTGGTGTTCGAGAAGATGAGAGGAGGTGAGCGTGGGGCTGGGGTTGGCGTTAGGGTTGGGGTTGGGGTTAGCAGCAGGACCCCCCCCCGAGCCCTGCTCTGTTCTCACCTGCCCGCAGGCTCCATCCTGACCCACATCCACCGGAGGCGCCACTTCAACGAGCTGGAGGCCAGCGTGGTGGTGCGGGACATCGCCAGCGCCCTGCACTTTCTGCACAACAAGGGTGAGCTGGGCCCCCCCCTGCATCCATCCCCGCATCCTCCTGCCCAGGGGCTACCGCTGGCCCTGGGCGCGCAGGGTCAGGCCCAGCCGCATCACGAGGAGCTTGGTGCCGAGCCTGTTCCTCCGGTTCAGCTGGGACTCGGGGCCAGCAGCGATCCCTGCCCTTTGCCACGGTGCAGGCAGTGATTTGGGGTGGGGAGGGAGGGCTCCCAGTGCCACCCCCAGGCCTTTCAGTGGGGGGGGGGGCTGGATTTTTGCCCTCATCCTCTCTTTATTCCCTGCAGGAATTGCACACAGGGATCTAAAACCGGAAAATATCCTGTGTGAGAGCCTGGACCATGTGAGTGGGGAGCGGGGAGTGGGTCCCTGGGGGGGGGAGATGCGGTGTGTCCCCATGGGGCATCGCATGGGGGGGGTGTAAAGCATGGCACATCCAGGCGTTAACAGGGGGTGACACGAGGCTGTGGACCCCAGGGGTCACCACTTCTCCTTCCCCCCCCCAAGGTCTCCCCAGTGAAGATCTGTGACTTTGACCTGGGAAGTGGCATCAAACTCAACGGCGACTGCTCCCCCATCTCCACCCCGGAGCTGCTCACCCCGGTAAGCACAGCGCAGGGAGGGCATTGTCAGTGGTCCCGGGGGCCCCCCCCAACAGATACCCCATAGGTCCTAGGGCACCCCCCCAGGTACCCCCATGCTGCTCATGCAGCCCCCCCCATCCCATCCCATTGCTCTGGGGGCTGAGGCTCCGTGTCCCGCCCCCCCCGCGGTGCCGAGCTGCGGTTGCATAATGCGGGGGGGGGACCGGGGGGGCTGGCGCAGAGCCCGGGCTGCTGCGAGCCCTTAGCAACAGCCAGGGCCCCGTGGCTGCGCCGAGGCTGCTGCAGGGAGAAGTGGGTCAGGAGAGGGGCCGGGGCTGCCGCTGGGACTGCCGGGTAGTGGGGGACAGGGGGCTCCCCACACACACACCGGGGGGTGCTGCCTGCTTGCAATGCATTGTGGGCACCCCAAAGCTTGTGGGGTGACCCCTGTGCTGCACAGATCTGTGCGGGGGCACTGAGCCTGTGCCCATCCATCCCATGCTCCCCACCAGCACCACTGCAGAAATCCCCGCTCTCCTTATCTCCAGCAGCAGGGATGCCCCCCTGCAGGGTGCTGCCCTGCACCCCGGTGTTTTTGGGGTGCACAACGGCAGAGGTGGGGGCCAAAACACACTGCCCCCCCCCTTTATTCCTTCTCCTTTACCCTCCTTTTGGGGCAGGCTCTGCATCCCGGAGGTGCCCCCGGTTCCCCCGTTCTCAACAAGGGCTGGGGCGCAGCACCCTGGTCCCTGCAGGGTTAAGCCTGGCGCTGGGTGCTGTTGGGCTGTGTTTGTGTTTTGTCTCTCGTGGTGGCATCAGCTGCTGGGGCCTCTCTCGCTCTGTGACAGCCCCTGATTATCTGCTGGCTGCAGCTTGCTGCTCCCCTGGTCACGAGGCCCCGTGTGGGCTGCGTGCGGGTCAGGCGCGCTGGAAAGCCCCAGAGTCCCTGGAGCGATATGGGAACAGGGCTTGCGTCAGGGTTAACTCCTCCCGCCCCGGATCCCTGCCTGCTCCCCGGGCTTGGGAACAGGCAGAGCAGGCTCATCCCTGCTGCTTCCCAGCCGCTCCCAGGCCATGGGAATGGAACAGGATGGGACCGGATGGGACGGACGCTGCCCCGCTGAGCCGGTTGGGTGGTGCTGGGAGCTGTGGGTCCGGCTTCCCTGGTGCTGCCTGAGGGGGTGCCCAGGAGGAGGGGGTGGGCTCTGCTCCCAGGGAACAAGGGATGGGACAAGAGGAACCGGCCTCAAGCTGCACCAGGGCAGGTTTAGATGGAGCTGAGGAACAATTCCTGCCCCAGAGGGTGCTCAGGCATTGGAACAGGCTGCCCAGGGCAGGGCTGCAGGCACCGGCCCTGCAAGGGTTCACACCCCCTCAGTGCCATGGGTTAGGGGCGGCCTTGGCACTGCTGGGAGCAGTTGGACTGGATGCTCTTAAAGGGCTTTTCCAAAACAGCTGATTCTGTGATTGAGGCTTTTTTGGGGTGGCAGCCTCACTGTTGGGTGACCCCCAGTGGGGGCAGGTCTGTGGTGGGGAACCCACCAGTGGTGCCTTGCCCTGCACCCTGGGTTTGCACCCTCATTTCAGGGGGTGCAGCCCCATAGCTCCGGCGGGATTCCCCCTCCAGTTCCCCATCCTTTGGGACCCCCGTGCTGGGGCTCACTCCCACCTCTCCCCCAGTGTGGCTCTGCCGAGTACATGGCCCCAGAAGTGGTGGAAGCCTTCAACGAGGAGGCGTCCATCTACGACAAGCGCTGCGACCTGTGGAGCCTGGGGGTCATCCTGTACATCATGCTGAGCGGGTACCCCCCCTTCGTGGGTCACTGCGGCTCCGACTGCGGCTGGGACCGGGGCGAGGCGTGCCACACGTGCCAGGTACACGGAGCACCGCGGCAGCGCCTGCACTCAGCTCCCCTTCGGCTCCAGCGCTCCCAGTTCAGCCCCTTCTCCCTCTCCCCTCTCCCCCAGAACATGCTCTTCGAAAGCATCCAGGAGGGGAAGTACGAGTTCCCCGACAAGGACTGGGCGCACATCTCCTTCGGAGCCAAAGATCTCATTTCCAAGCTGTTGGTGAGAGATGCCAAGAAGCGGCTCAGCGCAGCCCAGGTCCTGGAGCACCCCTGGGTGCAGGGGGTGAGTGCTGCTGCCCCCCATCTCTGCTCCCCAAAGCTGGGGTGGGGTTCACCCTCCTATGGGGTGCCCGGCTCTGACCGGCTGTGTTTCCTTGCAGTGCGCCCCGGATAACACCCTGCCGACCCCCATCATCCTGCAGAGGTGAGCATCCTGCAGGGTGGCCCTGGGATGGGGGGGCACATCCCAGCCCCCCAAATCCTGCCCCCTTTCCCCAGTTGCTGCTTTTTTGGGGGGGGGGGGCTCTGTCATAGCTCTGGGCAGCGGTTGCAGTGTGTGATTCGGGTTTAAGCCATGTTGGTGCCTGACCGGCCTGAGTGCAGAGAGGGACACCCCAGTGTTTGCCCCCCATTCCCCCCCTGAGCCCCTGCCTCCCCGCAGGAACAGCAGTGCCAAAGAGCTCACCTCCTTTGCTGCCGAGGCCATGGCCGTCAATCGCCAGCTGACGCGGCGCGATGAGGATGAGGAGGATGAGGCGGAGGAGGAAGCACGACCCATCATCATCAAAGCTACCTCACGGGCCATGCAGCTCTCCCCCCCCTCCGAGTCCAAGCTGGCCAAGCGGCGGCAGAAGAGCAGCCTGGCCAAGGCAGTGGCCACCGGGCAGCACCTCGTGGCCCCACTGGTCCTGGTGGCCGACCAAGCCTGAGCTGTGGCCCGCAGACCTGCTGTACCCGCTGTTGTCCCCCTCCTCCTCCTTTGTTCTTCCCCCCCTTTCCCCCCCCCCGAGCCCCACTGTTTCTGGCTGGTGGCAAGATCAGGACTCGTCCCTGTGGCTGGTTTCCAAGGCTGTGCTGATCTTGTAGGTCGGGGCGGGAGGGGTTCTTCAAGATGTTCTTCTTGTGCTAAGGTATTGAATGGAGCAGGAGGCTGCTGCACCCAGGGCCCGCTCAAGGACACCCGACAGACACACGGACCTTTTGTTTCCTGACTCTTGGCTTCTCCGCTGACATCCCCCCCCCGTCCCCATCCCGACACCAAAGGACTCTTTGTACCCGACCATCTCGGCTCCTTTCCTACTGTGAACAAAAGACCCTCGCTCGCCTTTGCAACAGCAGCGGTTGGGCAGGAGCCTCCTCCCTCCCCTCGGAGCTGCAGGGCTTCCCCCTGTGTCGGGGCAGATCCCCCAGGACCCCCACCCTGGGTGCTGGGAGCCCCCCACGCCGTGCTCCGGGGGGATGTGATGGGTGCTGTGCAGGGAACTGCTTGGGCCGGGGGGAGATGGTGCCAGCGAGGGAGCAGCTCCGCATCCCCCCGAGCCACCCTCTCTGCTCAGCAGCCTGCTTCCAGAATAAGCTATTCCCCCCTTTGTCCTTCCTTCTCCCCTTCAGTTCTTGTTGGTTTTAAACTGCTAAGCTGTGCTTCTCTACAGGGCACAGGGAATTGTCTTCCTTTGCTCCCGTGCTCTGGATGGTGGCTCCTGGGGGTAAGGTCAGAGCCAGGGGGATGCGCAAGCATTGGGCCATGCTCTTGTGCTGGGGTGGGTGTTGTATCCCTGGTTCTGGAAGGGCTGCTTGCCAGTGGATGTGCTCTTAGGGAGGTGCAGAGGGAATGAGGTCTGCAGGGTGGCTGGAGCAGCCCCTCTGGGCATAGCAGATGCTCCACAGAAAGCAAAGGACACCCTTTAAAGGGCTTCGGGCTGGCCCTGAGGCTGCTGTTGCAGGATGGGCTGGGGGTGCTGAGCACCCCAAGGTGCTGTGCTTGTGGGGTGAGCGGCTGAGCTGGCGGCAGCACCCATGGGCTACAGAGTAGGGTGCAGCCAGGGAGAGCTTGGGATGTGGGGCTGGAGGGTTTGGGGTCGGCAGCAGTAGCAGGGCAGTGCAGGGTGTGATGGGTGGCCAGGGAGAGCTGAGCATGTTGATGCATGTGCATGTGTCCACGTGTCCGTGTTCATGTGTGTCCACATGTCCGTGTTCATGTGTGTCCACACGTCTGCATGCATGGCGCTGCCCTTTGCTCAGAGCTTTGGGCAAGGAGGGAACGCAGCACTTGGGATGCTGCATTAGGGCAAGGCCCTTGGCTGGTTGCTGCTGCGTGGGGCTGGATCAGGTCCAGCTCTTCCAGGCACCCCCTGCACCAGACCCGCTCCCCAGCACAGCTCGTGCCACCATCCCCATGTCCCCTTCATCGGGAACCTCCTTTCCCTTCCCATCCACTGCTTTGAGCTTTATACCTTGCAAAAGCAGCCTCAGTCCCTTGTGTGCACAGGTGGAGGCTTTGGGAGCTTGCTTTGGGGTCTTCAGCTGAGGACAGTCACTGTCTCCCGAGGGGGAAAGTTCTCCTTTTGATTTTAAAACTGCTGACAGCAATACTATGCAATATATGTTGGTTTTGTTTCAGGGAGGTGTGTGTGAGTTACCGTGGGAGATGATGATCGGGGTCTTGATGAAGTTTGGGCCAGGGACTTCTCTTCTTGCCCTTCCACTGAGTGGCATCTGTGGGTCAGGGAGGGTGGGTTTTCCCCTCTCCATCCCCCCCAAAAACTGCCTCCCACTTGCTATCTCCTCTCTCCCCGCCCTGGTCCACACTGTGCGGGGTGGTGGTGAGGGGACACCCCCTCCGGCACCGGGATGCCCTGGAGAGGCCTCCTTTAAAGCAAGACAAAACAAAATCCATCTTGATTGTACATGACTTTTTTTTTTTTAGAGCTTATTTTGTTTTATCAGTTGTAGATAATTCCTCGTTGTCTTATATTAAGAAATACTTGAACGCTGTACAGTGTGCGATGCCTCGAGCTGGGGGTGTGGAAGCTGTCGGTGGTGCTGCACGCCGCAGCCTGGGTTCTTCTTGCTTTTAAACCTCCCCATGGGAAGGGGATGGCAGGGGGGTGGCTATAAGATCTGTGTTGTTTGTTCCTGCCACCCCCCCCTCCCCATGCCTTTGTTGGCAAACTGAGCTTCCCCCTCTTCCCATGTGAGGATCCTTTTAGATCTATGTATGCACCCACTGTTCCGAAGGCTGGTGAGCGGCCTGGGTGACCCGTGCGTGTGGGAGCTTGTCCCCATGGGTGTTCTGCTGGTGTGATGGCATTGAGGGGATGGACATCCCGGGAGCATCGAGCTCCTCACCGGTTGCTCAGCCCCGGGTTTGGTGCCGTGTTTTGGCTCAGGGGTCAGGTTGGTGATGGAGCCTGGTGTCCATGGAGGCCAGGATGTGAGCTCTGCTCTGTGTGTGTATGGAGCACCTGAAATGCCTCTAGAGCCAGGGGATGGGCTCTGAAACACCTCTGTGCACCCATGGGTGCCCCGCACCGTTGGCGAGATGCTTGTGCCAGGGCCGGACATCCCCTCCCTGCCACCAGCACCTCTCAAGGGGGGATGCTTCCAGACAGATGCTCCCTGACCCGTGGTCCAGCACCAGCTAAATCCCTCTCACCACCACCCTTGTTCCTCCTCTTCCTCTTTCAAAGTCTTCCCCCCCTTTCCCTTCCCCCATAGAGCATCTGTCTTGGAAACCAACTTCAAAAAGATTATTATTATTATTATTATTTCTTTTTTAGGCTGGAAATATTAAGCGTTTTGGCTTCCTCTCCTTCCCCCCCGCCCTTCCTTCAGCCAACTAACTCCACTTAGAACTGGTTAGAAACGTTTACTGTGAAGCTAACTTTGTTTTTATGAGAACAGGAGAAACTTTCTCTACTTTACAATGGAAAAAGACTGCCAAAGCTGGGTTGACAAGAGTCTTGTGAGCGCACTGCTGGTTTGTACAAGAGCGGCCTCTGCTCGGGGGCTGGCTGCGACCTGAAACTGAAACAGGGGCAAAGAAACCCGCAAAAAACCCACAAAAAAATAAAAAACCAAGAAAACAAGGAAAAAAAAAAAAGACAAAACCATAAAACCAAGCACTTTACTGTATGTACCAGGTGACCTGATACAGCTGAATTGAAGTTTTCCTTTATAACAGTTGTTGATTCCAGAATTTTGTATTCTGTTTTGTAAGAATTTAATAAAAATGCATTGACATCTATAGGGTGAGGCTGTGGTTGCTGGGGGTCGCAACATCCATCCCAAGGGCTCTCCCCAGTGCTGTCCTGCGTCTCCACCAGCTCCATCCCAGTGCAGGGCTGGAGCTGCTTGGGATGCCAGGAATGGGGCTGGCAGTGGCTCAGGCCCTGACTCACTTTTCCCAGTGGGGTGGTGCAAGCTGCTGTAGCCCCACAGGGGCACTGCGGGGTCCCAGTGCAGCACTGCTGCTGCCCTGCCACCCTTCCGAGCCCGCTGGGGCCCATTCCCAGCCTACAGCCATGGGGCAGGGTGGGGAGGGGGAAACAAGCAAGAGGAAAGGGGGTGGTGGGATGGGAATGGGACAGGGGGAGTGGGAAGGAGTGGTGATGAGGAGAAGGGTTCCCTGAGCCCCCCTGTGCTTTCTCCGGTGGGCTCAGAAGATGCTGTTGAGGTTTCTTGTCATCTACTTTGATTTCTAAGGTATTTTCTGGGCTGGTGAGTGTTTTCCAGTCCTGTGCCATGGGGGTGCCATCGCTGTGGCTGCAGGGGACACCCTGCCTGGTGCGGCCCTGGCAGCCCCTGCTCCGTGGCACCCCCACTTGTGAGGATGGGGCCGCCCCTGGCTCTGCACATGGGTGAGTGCAGCCCCAAAGTGGCCAAGAAATCCCCCAGATAAATGGTGCAGCTGCTGCCTGCAGCATCTGGACCTGGACAGGGCGGCTCTAGGAGTCTCGGGGCTGCTCCAGACCTTAAAGCTCATCCAGTTCCAACCCCTGCTACTGGAGCAGCTCCAAGCCCCTGTGTCCAACCTGGCCTTGAGCACTGCCAGGGATGGGGCAGCCACAGCTTCTCTGGGCACCCTGTGCCAGCGCCTCAGCACCCTCACAGGGAAGAGCTTCTGCCTAAGAGCTCAGCTCAGTCTCCCCTCGGGCAGGTTCAAGCCATTCCCCTTGCCCTGTCCCTACAGGCCCTTGTCCCAAGCCCCTCTCCAGGTTTCCTGCAGCCCCTTTAGGCACTGGAGCTGCTCTAAGGTCTCCCCTTCAGGAGCCTTCTCTTCTCCAGGCTGCCCCAGCCCAGCTCTCTCAGCCTGGCTCCAGAGCAGAGCTGCTCCAGCCCTCGCAGCATCTCCATGGCCTCCTCTGGCTTCGCTCCACCAGCTCCAGGTCCCCCTTGTGCTGCTGCCCCAGAGCTGGAGCAGGGCTGCAGGGGGGGTTCTCAGAGCTGCTCCATCCAGTCTCCCCCAGCCTGTGTTTATGCTTGGGATTGCCCTGACCCAGGGGCAGGGCCTTGTACTGCCCTTGTTGAGCTTCATGATGTTTGTTCGGCTCTACCTCTCCAGGTTCCCATCCAAGATGCTGTGTGGATGCAGTGAGTCAAAGGCAGCTTTGCTGCAGAGGATGGTTTGGTTTTGAATCTCTATCAGATTGCTTCATACGGTCCCTCTTCCCCCCACCCCTTCTCACACCACACCGAGAAAGCACCTGGTAGTTGGAAACCATCTCAGAGCACGTGCAGAGAAGAGCAGCTCTGAAAATAACCTAGCACAGGGTTAAAATAACCTGCGCTGCTCTGGTGCTGGAGCATCAGCCCAAAATAGGCTCTCCTGCTGGGAGAAGGTGCTATAAATAAGTCTGTGTTGATTTGCATTGAAGAAAAGCCCCACAGCAAGAGCAGCAGCGATGCCACCCATGCTGGCCCGGTGGCACCATGACAGTAAAGGGGCCACTGCAGAGGCACCGGGGTGGCCTGGTTGATGTAGCCGGTCAGTGGGGCTTCGGGTGACGCGGTGGCTTGTTCTGTGCTCAGGATTCTTCTGTTCTTAGGGGGAATGGCTTGAACCTGCCCGAGGGGAGACTGAGCTGAGCTCTTAGGCAGAAGCTCTTCCCTGTGAGGGTGCTGAGGCGCTGGCACAGGGTGCCCAGAGAAGCTGTGGCTGCCCCATCCCTGGCAGTGCTCAAGGCCAGGTTGGACACAGGGGCTTGGAGCAAGCTGCTCCAGTGGAAGGGGTCCCTGCCCGTGGCAGGGGTTGGAGCTGGAGGAGCTTTAAGG